TTAAAAATTAAAAAAGTAATTTTTTTAGTGCATTATTCAGAATTTATAGGGCATTTTACTTGGGGTATTTTCGGGGTTTTTTTAGAGAATTTAAATCCCAGGCCTTCTTATTGTGTAATCTACAAAAATAATAATTATTAAAAATATTAACAGTTTTAATTTATTCTTTGTTTATACTAAGAAAGTAGGTATACGTATAAGTTTTAGGCGGTTAAAAATGATATCAGAAGTCGTAAACTCGTAAGTTGGAAGTTTCTATCAGTTTTATCTTTTAACTGTGAAAATAGTAAACCATTGTCCATTATTTTTTTATTTTAAAATCGTATTTTATAGCCAAGTGCTCACGAGAATTTAGAAAATATTTAAATATCCGTGCAATAATTATATTTCGCATATTCAAATAATGTTACTAATGCCATGTCCCTTAAGGCCTTAGGCCTTAAACATGATTTAATGGCACATATGATTGTTCGATTGAATTAATACATTTTTATGCAAAGAGGAATTAATATACTTCCATGATTTTATGTTTACCTAATAATTAATATATATTTATACAACCGTGAATTATGATTCCAAATTTAATTATGATTATAATATTTACTTTGTAACTAAAATATGCCCTTATCACGCCTAAGTATGAAGAATCTTCAACAACTCAACCTCAATCCAACAGTTCTGGACGAAGAAAACCCTGAAGCTATTTATTGATTTTTAAATCATTTAAACTTAAGAAAAAACTGTAAATAATGTAAATCTTGCCTTACCTTCAACCGATATAGATGTTGAAGCCTTACATTTATTAAAAAAAAATAAAACAATAATATTTACATATGACTTAGTTATGACTATATTATTCCCCTTACAGTATACTTATTACTTACACTATATACAAGGTAATTTACTAATTCACCGACCATGCTCATCCTTTTTTCTTCAATTATGAAGTTATTCAAAATCTGATTTTTGGAATTTTTAAAAATACTTTACGCCATATTTTCAAATTATTGAGTTTTTTTGTACTACCTACTTATCGAATGTACTGTAGAGATACAATCATTTGGTTTTGAAATGAGAACCCCCCTCCCCTTTTCTACAGCAAATTATTTAGTGAATAAAAGAAAATGCTGATGCATCAGAATCAAAATTCGTACGGATAATCTTTGGATTCCTTATTAAAAGGATAATAGGTCCATGATATTGGATTTTGTGAGATGTGAGGGCCATTATGCCAGCTATAGCGATTTCAACATCTCAGTGATTAATATTAATTTTTATGATATAAATCTTAATTTATTTAATTAATCTATTTGTATAAGTAACTTTTATTGAAAACAGTGCAGTAGTTCTTGAGTCTATTAACTTCGGGTAAACCAACATATATTTTTGTATTAAACCTCCAAACTTTAACCTAAAAAAATATGAATAAATCAAGCGCTAGTGCTGAAAATGGGAACCCCATTCTTAGCCCCCCTCCCCAAGCAGAAAGAATTTTAATTCTCTTTCAACTCTCTTCCGGTTTGAATTGTTCACATAATCAGTCCATTGGCTCACTTTCGGTATTCTCTTGTAGTGAGGGAAGTTGCCTTCACGGCCAGGAGGATAGGCAACCAATTTACCACTATCGTCCGCTGTTTACATTTTTTGTGTATCGATTATGAGTTGTTGTCAATTTTTTATCGGTTATATTTCCTTATAGACATTATTATGTTATATTATATTATAAAATTAAATCATCGTATATATGTATTTTTAATATTTTTCAAACGCTATTGTAACAATATATCAGAAGTGTGGTATTAAATTGTTAAGCTTTTTGACCCAACGAATAACATTTTATTGACATTTATAGAAAAAAAACTGTACCTACAAATTGAAAATGTTTATAAACAGCTCAAAACGAGTCCATACCATCAAGGCTAAAAAATGATAAAATATGAAAAATCTCGTTTTTGAATTACAACAAAATAAGAAATTCACTCCATGAGAAATCGAGTCCACAAAGTAAAAATTTGGACTTCGAACGCTCATAAAAATTTTATTTGACTTTCCGGTAGGCTTTTCTACTGATAAAAGTAGATAAACTTTTGAGAACTCTTGTATAACATTTTCAAATCTCAGATAAAAAAAATTACATACATTTCTAACTCAAAATAATTCGATAATTTTCGCGATTCATATAAATGTTGTTAAAATTCCAACTCCTAACGCTCATAAAAAAATATTGTGGATTTACGCTCAACTTTTTTCAATTTCCACATACAAAACCTTATGAGCAATATATATTGTATTAAATTTTCAAGTTCTTTGACCAAGCAAAAAGTATTTATCGAAATTAATTTTAAAAACAATAATACAAATCAACAATTCCATACGCTTATAAATGGTTCAACATCAGTCAAAATATTTTGAAAATTTTAATATATAGAAAATGCTAATATAAACATTCAGTGATAATATCATGTATCTAGCCCTTTTTCTTTGGTAAGTTTTTAGACCAAAAACAAAAATTTGTCAAAAACCGATTTTGTGTAAAAAATCCAGTTTTTAATTTGTTGTTTCACAGCGCTTTTGACGCTCTATTGGGAGTTTTAAATGTTGACCTCCCAAGTGCACCAACTAGATTCACTTTCCCACTAGAAAAGATATGGAAGTCGAAAATCGAATCAATATTTCGACTACTTACGTATCGTGTTAATGCACACAAAAATAAATAAATCATCACATTGACGTCGTAGTAAGATCATCATTCATCAATACATTCATAACTCAGTTCAGAATCTAAGTCAATCGCCATGGTCTGCTACATCCAATGTTAAGTTGGCTGTTTTGTCCACTATATATGATATTACCATAAGAACATAGGCACAATTAGGGGGAGTTAGCCCTTCAGTTGTCTAATCATATTTTAGTATACAATTTTTAATTATTAGGACTTAAATTACGATTTATAACATCAATATAATATTTACTCGTAATTATATTAGAAAACATATAGGTTTGTAATATATTAGTAGTATCATGAACACTGAAGTTGCCAATTTCAAGCACAGATTTTTTGATGAAAGTTAACCGATGCAAATTTAGCATTTATTTTGTCGAATGTCAATTAAATTACAACATTGCATTTTATAAGGTAGGTATCTATACCTTATACACCTTTATTATAGATATAATCTTAGTAATAAAAACTATCTATACCTTATACACCTTTATTATAGATATAATCTTAGTAATAAAAACGAATTTCCTAATCTAAAACTCCAATCATTTATTTTCTGAATTATATGTATTAAATTAACTATAGTTATAGATAGGAAGACTGATCATTAGAGTTAGGATGTTGATGACCTAAAAAAACGTGCAAAAATGCTCTAAAAACTTAAAAAAATAACCTTAAAAATTATCAAGTAATTATTAAGTAAGTGAAAAAACTTATTTATAAATAATAATTTTTATTAGAGATATGGGTATTGGGTATAATAGTAATTTAAAAAATGAATCATAAATATATTAAGCATTTAAATAATTCAATATATAACACTCAAAGAGTAAATCTTATCGGAACGCGATAAATGTAATCACAACAAAAACCTCACAATAATAATATTAAAATTATTTTTTTAACTAATAGTCCAAATCCAAAGTTAGATTTAAATTAAATTTGTTTCCAAACTTAGGCGTAACATTTGCCCTAAAATCTATAATTTGTGAAAAATGCCCTAAAAGATGAAAAATGACGTTAAAAAACACAAAAAATGCATTTATAGCTGAAAATGCAAAATAAAATAAGAATATTCTGCATCAAGGGAGCATGAAACAAATTTTTAGCTAGGATAGCATTGTACAGAATAAAAGGGAAAAAAATGCAAAAGTCATCAACATCCTAACTCTACTGATCATTAACTTTCTTTTATTTAGGATGTAGTGAATATTTTAACGGATAGATTAAAATCAGAAGTGACATTTGAATATATTTGTTTAAGAGGACGTGATACCCGCATGTGTTGTCTCCGTCTTCCAAGTGCGTAACATACCAAATTGTACACTCGGCAGAACACGTGTAGCTCCGTTAATTTAAAAATTAAAGTGAATTGACCTCTTATAAAATCTAAAGGTAAGATTATTATCTAGGCAACCTCATAGGCTTTTTATTATATTTTTATTTTAACGCGAGTTATAAGTATTTTAAGATGTATAAAAATTTACAATTTTAAAATACTCATAACTCGCGTTAAAATTAAAATATAATAAAAAACCTATGAAGTTGACAAGATAATAATCTTACCTTAAGATTTTATAAGAGGTCAATTCGCACTAATTTTTAAACTAACGGAGCTACACGTGTTCTGCTGAGCGTAAAATTTGTTATGTTACGCACTTGTATGACAGAGACAACACATGCAGGTATCACGTCCTCTTAATACTAATGAAGATCGTCATTGAAAAACAATCAATACAAATTTATATAAAATGTTCCAATACCAATCAGTTCAGCCACATGTGAACACTCTTTTTCATCAATGAGGTAATATTAAAAATTGTTGAAGTAATATGGAACACAATGTTTTCAGTGATGAACTATCACATTTTAAATAATTTATCAAAAAAGGAAATGCGTTTTGTAGAAATACATTTTATTATTCATAATTTTTTTTTTCAATTAATGAAATCACTAGTTCAATGAATTATTTGTATGTTGAGCAATGTTAGCAGGTATATTAATTATAGTGGAAAAATATTCCCAGTTCCACATACGTGTATGAATGATCACTTAAAAAATTGTGGATAGAAAAAACCAGACATTGTTAGTTAGGACAGCCCACCAGATAAATTTGAATTTTACCACCACATATCGGTCTTTGAAATAATGTGACACATCAAATATAATAATAATATTTATAAAACAAGTAGATATCTTTGGATAAAATGAACATAATTAGTGGAAAGGCAACACACATAAACTATATTAAATAGTTATAATCTATCTATGACCATAATATATATATATATATATATATTTAAATCAAACAAATTGCAAAATAATAAAAGTGCATCTTATACAAATTACTTACAATGGCTGCTTATACTTAAAAACGAAAAACTTTTATCAATTTTTAATAAATTAAGTTTATACCACAATATTGTATAAAAATTTTCAAAATGGAACACTTATATATCATAATAATTAATCAAATGTTTAGTGAATTGTCAGGCCGCGCTTTGAAAAAGAAGTTATGATACAACGAAACCAAGATTTCAGAAAAGCGAGGAAAATTTAAGCCGTAACGTACTACAGTTGTCGTATAGATTGTGTAGCATGTTTTCATTTAAAAGGTAAATAATTCAATTTTAAGTACAACAATTTGTATATATATATATATTTAAAAAAAAAATTAAAAAAGATAACGATGTGAGCGAGGGAGCGGGAGTCGAAACCGGCAAAGATGAGACGACTACAGGCTAAAACCAGTAAGAAACCACTATATTCATGACTTGTAAAGATAGAAAAATCACAGCAATTAGAAACTCAGCACAAATGTTATTATTACAACAATTTTTTTGGGTTTATATAATAAATATAAATTATATCTATATATATATATATATATACATATATATATATATATAAATACACATATACAATTATGAACGAATTATGAGAATAAACATTGTTTTTACAGATATTGAAGTTATACACCGAAAAAACCGGATTCAAAATTAAATATATATTATTTAAACATTAATAACGGTCAACATGTAGGATGCTGGCAATAGTGGTCTCTAGTAGTTTCAGTTTGATACTTGACACGCTTAGACGGTTTGAAGATCTAAGACACATTAATTTCTAAAAGGTTTCCTTAATTGCCAGCAAACGACATGTTAAATGATCTAGTGTAACTATAACTTACTTCCAAAATGTATATATATATATTTATATATAATTATGTTTATTGTATCAACTCTATATAATAATAGTTATAAACATTCAATATAATTAATAGACTAATAAAGAAAAAAAAATGTGTTTATTTATTCTTATTCAAGACTTTTTGTTTTTAAAGAACAGGTATACAAAAAAAAAAAGATTAACGAAAAAACAAAGAGCGTGTCGTGAGAGCGCAGTTGTGGGGCAGGTGGAAGATGAAGGGGGCGCAGTTTCTCGCGGAAGTGTGTAAATGTTTGTTTTGCTTTATTAAAAATTATTATAGTTTTTTTTAAATTTGTTTATATTAAATATTTTAGTAAAAGAGTTAGTTGTCTCCAGTGGCTTCCTGGGGCTCATCGTTGTCTTGCGTATCAGACGTCCATAAAGTCAAGTTGTCACGTAACAATTGCATGATGAGCGTTGAGTCCTTGTAGCTGTCCTCGTTTAATGTATCCAGCTCAGCAATTGCATCATCAAAAGCCTACAAATATGGAAGTATGAGTATTGGAATTGTAATAAATCAATAAATGTATATATTATTTAAAAATATTACAAATACAAAGCATTAGTTAAATATATCAACCTCCATTAAAAATAAATTTAGAATATAACTATAAGTATAATATATATACTATATACACTTGGGGGTGATATTAACTATGGAATCAGTCAATATCTCTAATTGTTAGTTGTTACACAATTGAAGTTTCTTTAACTTTAGAGAATCATTTCAAATTTTTTTTAAATTGTCAAATAGTTAACCCATAAAATATAGCTACAGTCTACAAACAATATTTTTATAATGTTATGCTTATCAAAAATAAAAATAAATTTGATTTAACAATTAGAGATGTTGACAGATTTTATGTTATATAACCAAGAACTATTACTCATAAATTATTTTAACCTATTCAAGCAAAAAGCGGACGATAATTATTTTTGCCGTTCTTCATTCAAATCTGTTTATAAAATACACAACTGTGATCAATAATTCAAAATTGTTGGGTTAGATATTAAAGAAGCTAGAAAATCAAACTCGTTAAAACAGTGGCAGATCATGGAAATGTTTGATATTTTAAAACAATGTACAAAAATTATTGATTTAAAATTAATGAGATTCTTTAAAATAAAATGTATTTTCTAAGATTGAAAGTATTTTTTATCTTTTTGGTTAGCCATCATAAAGGTAAGTTCACTTGTTATTATAGACTGCCACTGAAAATAGTCAAACAACAATTTCTGGATTCCTCAGGGAAAGTAGGGGTACCTGTTTAGCCAAATGGCAAGCACGAGCTGGGGAGTTAATGATTTCATAATAGAAAACTGAAAAGTTCAACGCCAGTCCAAGTCTAATAGGATGAGTAGGTTGCATTTTTGACTTGGCTATATCAAACGCCTCCTGATATGCTTTTTGTGAATCGTCCACCACCCCTAAATACCAATAATAAAAACAAAAGAGTTAAACTTTGTGAAATAAATACCTGTTTTGCTAGTTGGCAAGCTTTATCTGGTGAGTTTAGTATCTCGTAGAAAAACACGGAGAAATTTAACGCCAGACCCAATCGGATTGGATGTGTTGGTTGCATTTTTGCTTTACTGATTTCGAATGCATCCTGGTATGCTAGTTGAGAATCATCAACCACAGCTATTTTTACCACACAAAAAATATTTTTAAATGACCAAATAAAAAAGTTATTTCGCAATGAAAAATTAGCATAAACACAAGAAAAACAAATATATTATATTAAAATAATGTTAACCCTAAATACATAACCCTCTACCTATTTTTTAGTTAAAACTCTGTAACTAATTTAATCATATTACATACTTTACATCAGTAAATTAATATATTCCTCAAATAACTTCAGAAGAACGAAAGTTAATTATCTTAACATCATTTGATAACAAAATGTATGATATTAAAATCAGTCAGTGAAAATAAAACGGTTAATGCAACATTGGAATTCAATACATTATGTTAAAGTTATTTAAAAAAAATTAATAAATAATTTTAAAAGTGCACAGATGTCATACTTATAACATTTCAATGGACACAGACAAAATTAAGTATCAGAATATAACCTAAACTTACATTTATGTAAAATATATTTATCATCAGTTTTAGGATATCATTCTCCTCACATAATCTCAGAAGAACGAAAGTTATATTAATAAAACATCATGAAATAAATTCAAATTAAATTTCAATACTTGGAAAAGTTAATAACATAATATACCTAACTATATTTCAAATGTGACTATTATCATCAGTTGTAAAAAAATTATCTTCACTCAAAATCAGAAGAACGAAAGTTATATTTATCAAACATCATTTGAACTTACAATAAGATTTACTAATTATTAACTCGTATTCAAATCATAATAAGTCCAATATTAATTAAAATGTATTCTTATTTTATAGTGAATCTTCAAATTTCAACAGTTTCAAAATAATAGAATTATTTAATTAATCAATAGTTAACATATATCATCAGTTATAAAAAATATTTCATCACTCATAAGTCGGTAGAACGAAAGTTATATTTAAAAAACATCATTTGATCTAATATAATGATTAATGGAGCAGTATTAGATGTTATAACTTGAAATTAAATTTCAAACTACTAAGTTCAAGTTCAATATAATTAAAAATGTAGGTTTATATAATAAATAATAATAATATTAGTGAAAAATCGATGCAGTCTTAAAATGTTAAGTATTCAGCATATTATATCTAATTAGTTGTTTATTTGTATCATCAGCTATAAAAAAATGTTCATCATACAAACTCAGAAGAACGAAAGTTATATTAAAGACATCATATGATTTTACAACCAACTGTTAGCAACACTATGAAACAAATGCAAAGAAAAATATTAAGTTAGGTATTGTTAAGTAAAGTGTATAACATAGAGATTTTTAAATTAATATTACCTATAATTATTGAGTTACATGTTGATAAGTAACAACTAATAATTCAATTACTACTGGTCAGGGAAATTAGGAATGCATATTGTTTGTTTTTAATATTCTTCATTGGTGACATCATGCATGAGAATATATTTTTAAAAGCAGTGATAATAATTATAAATTACTTTAATTTTACAAATATCATTTAAAATACTGCATTTGTAAACACGTATTAGTCATTTCAGTTACTAATTAGTATCTAAACCTAACTTTAAAATGCTGGACGTTATGTGGTAGAAGAACATAATTAAACATATTAAAGTATACTAATTTCTGCAAATAAAACTTATTTAACAATCTTAAAAAATAATAGAACATATCTAACTGTAAATAAATAAAATATAATACTATATAACCAAGAAATTATTTGAAATTCAGATGTTTAGAATTAATAGTTTATATTGGAAGTAACTATTACATCGAAGAATAAACTTACCATTTCTAGTTTCGCCAGTGGCAACTTCCGCTAGGTACCTATAATAATCACCCTTCATTTTAAGGTAGAAGACTTTGCTTTCGGCATTACTGGCTTTGGGGATTAGGTATTTGTCCAAAAGGTTCTGCAAGACCAATATTAATGATTATTTTTAAAACAAGTATAATTCATTAACACTTAATACTAAATTTACCAACCAAAAATAGACATTTAAAAACATATTTTAAATATGAATGATAAACACTAGTCAAAATATTGACAATGATGTATTTGAATTTATTAAAAAAATTGAAAGCTATATTAGCTGTCAATCTAACTTAAAAATAAGAATTAGAAAGTGTTAGGTCCTTCCACTTTCCACCACATCAATCAATGAATTATGAATAGCAAAATTCATTTTTTATTCACTTTTGTATGACAAAATATAATGTTTGAATTGGAACAGGATGAGCACCCCTTTTAAAAAAAAAAAATATCCCAGTCAGCATTAATTATTTTATATTTTTACACCCCACTTTTAATTTTTTGAGCACACTGCATATATATATATAGATTAAATAGGATATTCCATCATTTAGTAAATTAGACTTGATGACAAATTAAAATCTACTTTTGTAATAGATATATATTACATAGATAGATCAATCAGTACACAATAAATCACCTCATATAATCCATTTAATGAACATTTTATGAATAGGTATAAATCAAGCTACCTATAATGACTTTGTTTTGAAAACATTTAATATACATAATAATACTAATGATTACATAATATACACAATACATACCAATACGTCGTAGCAGATGTCCCTAAGTTCCTTTTCAACCTTCTCCCGATACTCTCTTGCCATTTGTTGTTTCTTCTCAGAACCTTCTGTTTTTTGCTCGATTGAAGAGATTACTCGCCACGATGACCGCCTAGCACCTACAACATTTTTGTAGGCTACCGAAAGCAGATTGCGCTCTTCATTAGATAGTTCCACGCCAGTTTCGGTAACAGATTTCATTGAGCTAGCCATGTCGTCGTACCGTTCCGCCTGCTCGGCCAGCTTGGCTCTCTGAACCGAGTCCTCTTTATCTCCAGACATTTGATATTTAACTTGACCAACAGACTAGTTTAACCTTTATAGACAACAAATAATATTTAACTGTATAAATACTAGATTTATCCAAAACTAATACAACTTGGTAAATTAATTTATAACATTATATTTATTTGATGTTCTAAACATGGAATACCAAGAACTTAAAGTAAGATATGACCGCCACCTATAACTACATTCTTTTAGCAAGACAAACACAGTAATGATTGAAGTCACAACCATACATCGATAATGATTGTGATAACATTGAATATATATTTATATTTGAATAATAAAACGGTCCTTAAACAATGAATGTTTGATTTCCACAAGTTTACATTCAGATAATAATAAAATCCACATAGACGTTAACTAACTTGATAAATTACTTATAATATTGAATAGCTCATAGATAGGTACTAGTTAAAATTTAGAACAAACAAATTTTATAACTTACACGTTCTGCTTACGATTTATAAGAATATAAGTACTGATAAGGCAGATTTTGACCATCAATATTTGGTGAAAAACTCAAATTTTGAAGTAAGGATCAGACGAATTCATAAATAGTGACATAAAAACGTAAAACCGTGATAGCATCGTCGGTAAATATAGTATTTCGTCCGGGTTTAGTGTTATATATAGATTATCAATAAAGCATCGCAGCAGATCGGGGCGGTAACCGGATATTTCTAATCGACTTATTTTATTTTTTTTAACCATCAAATTAAAGGAATCTGCATTGTCGGCGTCTGTAAAATAATATAACTCTGTATTTGGAAACCCATATGACCGTAGAAAACTTTGAATCCGTTCTCTACCTGCGGTGCACGGTAATTGTGGCCGGGGCCAAATTAGCGTCCGATCAATTATTCGTCTACTACGTAACAACGCCGCCTAACAAGGCGCGCCGCTGCTCGCAGTGCGGACGGGCATTGTTTGTCGAGACGATTTACCCGCGCGCGACACGGGTTCCACCTGGCTACCTACCGGTCAAAAAATGTAAGCAGCGACGTATGTGCAAGCGCGCGAGTGACACACAGTCGTGGAATGCGTTTGCCGCATTGTGTCCCCCCACCCGCCCGCGTTCCTACACCGCAACCACCGCCACCCCATAGAAGGTGTGTTCGGGTAAAAACCATGCGGCGACGACCAGGCGGCAGGACTTTTGAAAGCGATAAAAAAAAAAATGGTGAAAGATTCGAATAAACTACACGTCGTCTGGGACGGACGGTTGGGGGCTCCTCCACCTAATCCCAGCCAGCTGGGGAATGCGCGCGCGATAAAAATAGATCATAGATCGCACACCGGCTGGCTAGCCGGCCCGTGCGCTGACGACCACGGCGGGACCGTCATCGTATACGCTATACCGTACAACTCACCTATAATGGACGTGGACACGACCAATGTGATAGAAATATTGCGCTGCGGCTAAGGAGACGGACGACGACTGTTGTACGCGGTCACTATTAACACTGCCGGTACGCAACGACGGAAGAGGGCGGTACGCGAGTTGAGAGAAAAAAATTGGTTCTCGGTAAAATTTTCTTTATTTATATATATATATATACATATATAACACAATACGCGTGTTAAAAAATTATTAGTACGGAGCAACTGCGTATAATATGTATGTACGTGCGAGCGTGTTCGTGTGTGTCTGTGAGCAGCAAGTACGCGCGCGCGCGGGCGCGTGTTCCACAGCCGGACGAGAGATTGAAAAACACGAGACGGAGTGCGCTATAGAAGGGTGACTACGGTGGAGTGGTGTGATGACGGTGTTCGGTGAAACGGGGGTCGAGTGTGCGGCGGACGCTGCGTCCTACCCCCACCACACAATGCGCGCGGCGGCACAATCGCGCGCGTACACCACGCGCCGCAATCGATTGTGCGCGCGGGGGCACAGATTTGCGTTTGAATAATTTTGGCGCGATGCATTTTGGTAAAAGCGTGCTCACGGGACGTTATCGAATTTCGACGTCTATTACGAGACGGTGGGCCGCAGCACGACAAATATATTATAATATCGTTTTCTATTATTTTGATTGTATTCGGATCGCTTGAGAAAGGCAACAAGAATAAAATATGTATTATCCGGACAACACACACATTATTGTGCGTCATCTCGTTGGCCCCAGTCGACGATATTCCGGTTATGGTCACTGCAGCGAGCGCGACGACGTCACAGCGACGGTTGTCGCTATTGCTGATTTTCACATAAATTACGCTAAGTTTACCGACCGATACGAATACGTCACTTTTTCGATGACACAAGACGTACATTTTAAGCAGTGGGGTGGTGGAGAGGAGGTCCGGTAGCAGATAGCTGGACGTGAAAGAAATATGATATGGGAATTATAGGAACGTTGCCGTGCACGGCAATTATAGTGTTGTACCTATTATTCGTGTATCGTTGTATGGCATAATATTATTCCGCGGTAATAATACTATACAACAGATTATATCGACATGATTTACAGTGTACACATAGATACGTTCGATACAATTGTCGTGTGCGTGCGTGTGAAAAATAAAAATACGCGAGCGGTAGAAAGGGCGCCGCATGCGTGTTGCTGGGCGTATGCGAGAGAGCACAAGGTTCGATCGATAGGTATGTGCGCGCGCGCACGCGTGTTTGTATGTGTATGCGCGTGGACGTCGGCCCCCGGGATTGCCGCCGCCGACGCTGCACCACCACTCGAACGTGACAGGCACGAAGGCGAGCGGAGAAAGAACGCGCGCGCGCGCGAGCCGGATGGCTCGCAGATGAGATATGGCAACAGCGGTTTTGTTTTCGTCATGGATTTAACGTCCGCCGCCATCGCACATACACACGGCAAACCGGACGACCGGCAGCGGCTATATATATTATTATTACAACGCGTAAACTGCGGTAGCGGCGACGTCTGGCCGAGCGCGCGCGAACGGAATCGGAAATAAGTGTCCGCCGCCCATCATCCTCGCTGCGCATAAAACACACAACACACCTCATGGTTGGGTTTTAAAAGGGGGCATCATAATATAATATACCAGAATCTTACGTCTTAGATTATTAGTTATAACTTATAACAAATAGCTATCAGGATTTCCAAATCCCTAAGTGGCTCCGTCAGCCGTCTCGTCATTACGTCTATATAGAATGGTCACACTCACACATAATTATCAACATATCGAAACGAGGAATCTTTTTTTAAATAAAATGTAATGGTTATAAACTCTAGGATGACGGCGACATATATTACATCATATAATGTACGAAAATATATTCTGAAGAGTAGGTAATCAGGAGATGGGAAACTGTTGTAAACTTGTAACGGAAATTCTCGGGACACTTATGACGTGAACGGTACATGGATGGACATTTTTCATAGGAATTGAACCTACATCTACCTACTAGAACAGATAACAAGGTCAATGTCTTTTTAAGGCCATGCAATGGCTGGGGATTTTGGGAACGACGCCACTTTAATAAAACGATAAACGGTCATACATAAAATCGTTGATTATGTTACTATAACTAAGTTGAAGTCGGAGTAAATTTAAAATAGATATTTTACAATACGATTTAGTACACGGGTTACATCCTTGCGAATTTGTATTATAACTAAAACCCATCCATTTTTTTAGATGGGTAACATAGTTTAAAAAAAAAATTCTTTTATCATTTTCTATTTATAAACTTTTAAATCAGTATAAGATTTTTGGTTATATATATATATATATATATTGATATTTCCATAATGATATCACTAAAAGTAATGTTTAGGTAACCGTAATTTAATAGCTATAAGCTATTTAGGTTTAGAATTTGTCATTAATTACAATACATAAAAATTGAAATGGATGGTCAACATTTGACATTTTAACAAAATGTAATAAACAACCTTCAAATTTTCCATAAATTACTACATTTATAAAATAAAAAGTAGGTATAGTAGCTATAACAAAGTTAAATTAAACAAGTGTTTTTGCCAACTAAAACATTCAGCAGCAAATAAATTCAATATTTATCATATAAATAGTCAGAAATATGTAGATATTGTATAAAACTAAAGCCACAAGAAGTAAACATATAAATTTCAATAACTTATGATATATAACTGATTAACATAAAAAGTATCAATTAGTGTACTTAAAATTTTAGTTTACACATGAATTTGATATATAATTTAGTTTTTAAAATTTTAAAGGATGATTAACTATAAGAATGTTAATTAATTTTAAGTTATTTAAATATAGTAATAACACAATAGTCAAATATATTATACAAAATCTACTTATTTTGTAAGATAATAGGAGTACCTGATTTATATTATATGAGCTAGGAAGTAAATGATAATGTGAAGTGTCTTATGTAACCAGGCTCTATCTGAAACATCATATCTATGCCTAGTTTTAGGTCTAAAAACACACTTAACTATTTTACTTGACCCTCAAATGTAAACTATTTTCACACATTAATTTAATAATCTAAGCAAAATTATACAATTTAATGATCTTAGGTCCAATGTTCAGCCGCAACACGTTTGGATACAGTAGACCCTAAACGCAACACGTTTGGGTACAAATTAATACACCGTTAGGGTACATAGGTATTAGTATAACACTTATAAACACCTAGAAAAATAACACATTAATACCTAATTGTTATATTGGATTAATATTTTGATTCATAAATTTTAAATTTGTAGAGCCATTAGCATTATCCAGGAGACACCATGAAGAGGTTGACTATTTTTAGTTCACGTCCATAATTACAAAAAATAAAATAATCTTAAGAAGATATTACCGATTGTAAATCCAAATCAGAACTGAATGTCAAATGTTAAATATTAGTTAGTTTCATAAGCCATATATAAAGTTATAAAGATAGTTAATGGCAATTATCGTATGCACCCAAATGTGCTATGTGTTTATGTACCCAAATGTGTTCTACATTTGCAGGTAAAAATAATGCTATGTACCTAAACGTGCTGCACCCCAATGATGGTAGGTCATTAATTTATAGTATATATTTCAATTAAATACCTTTACTAAGACTTTTTATTAGTGCAGAGTACATTTATATGGTCAAATGTATTTTAATACTATTAAAAATGTTAGTTCAACATAGGATCCAAAAAGTAAAATTGATAAAATACCTTTGTAAAAATAAACTTTTAAATAGTAAACAATATTTATAACTGATAAAAGTGTTAAAGACACTCCACAATGAATAATAGCAAATTAGTCTCCAACGATTTAAAATCTTAGAAATTCTATTATTATAATTTAATTTCCTAATAATCTTCACTAACAATTTAAGAAAGCTAAGCAGGTACAATCTTGCAATTTTTTGAATATAGGCTTTAAATCAAATTATACATACATATTAGCTCCAATACAATTGTAAAACCCAAATTAATGTGTTACACTTTAAAAATGAAACAATAATATTATTAAGACAGTGTTTACTAGCAAAAATACAATGTAAACAATGTTTAATCATGTCATTTAAAATAAAATGTAATAAAAACATTAAGGTAAGTTTATGTGATGAGCAAATGTATGGGTAACATGTAGTAAGCGATTTATAATGGATTCATGACTTTTAAGTTAGAAATCAATGCTTTTAATCTAAAAGAAATTCTAATTTCTAAATTAATTCAATCATGGGCATCACTTAATAAACAAACGGTCATAGTTTATAATAAACCAATAGTTATAAAATTAAGAAAGTGTGAAATGCTTAAGGAATGATACCTGAACTGTGGTAACTTTAAAAGACAAACGTATCCACATGATCATTTTATCACAGAAAAGAATGTTATACAGAATTTGTATTAATTCGTAAAATTAGTATAAATATTTAATTGCACCTAGCACACCTAGCATCTACATCACTATAATCACTCATAACTTACAACACTGATTTTTGAAGTGAATATAAATATATAATAGTATTTACACATTCTAGTTAAAACATTGAGAACTTACCAATTACATGGGAAAATATCTAGTCTACAAAACTGAATACATTAATTGATAACGGGTCAGCGTCAGACATGTTAAAACATCAACTAGTATTACATGACAGAAACGTCTATAGATATGTGGATGAGTGTAGATGGTTGAAGACGTTAACAGTTGTGAATCCCAACGTAATGAAATCTTTAAAACCTTGTCCACCCGAAATATGTAGTATCAAGAACAGAGAACCAACTATCATGTTTTTCAACACTAGATACTGTAGATACCACGAGGGCGACTATGCAACAGCTTTTTAACATTTTTACTTTGTTCCGTTATATTATAGGGCACGCGAGATTGATTTTTAACAGCGGTTTCATCATACCTGTACGGCAAATGTTCGCCAAAGGCGTTCCAAATTGAATGCGGCGATCGTCTTAATTCACAGACGAATCTTCCAATAAGTGGTGTGTTTTGTCTAGTTTACTGCGCCTCACGAATACGATACCGTTAAGCGGAACACTGCTTTGCTGCTATGGCTGTTGTTGATCCAGAACCCATGAAACAATCGATAATCGCGTTTGTTAGTTGATTATAAGTATTATGGTTGTACAATATTAATTATTGAAAATTACGAATACACGGGGGCCCGGTATTCGATAATGCGGCAAGTTTGAATGTATATGAAATATTGTATGTGTATGAGTGAGTGTATGTGAGCGCGTGTTTTTGTGTGTGTAAAAATTAATAGAAAAATTATAAAGAAAAGAAAAAATCAATCAAACCTGCTGTTTTAAGTATGCGTGACCGGAAACGTGATGCGTTTTTGGAAGTTACTATTCAGTATTCACTTGGCAGCCATGTTTGATACGGTCTTGTAGAACCGGCGTTGCGCGCGCGAGGGCAGCACTTGTCCGGCGGCGGTGTTGAGTCACTCGACCGCACCAACCTGCGCTACACATGGTCGCCAACATGACTCAAAAGTGTGTTTTCACCTTAGATCAACATATCGTTATGTTGTTAAAATCATAAATTGTTTGTACCATATTGAAAAGAGGAACAGAAACGAGTTTTATCGGAATCTAATAACTGATAAGGTCTGGTGGTCAGTGATAAAAAATGTGTACACGTGTAACGGCGTAGCATGTTGAGAAGATAACAACAATCTTCTCTCTACGTCGTTCTGGCATGATTCAATAGTGAATAGCTTAATATTCAAAATTCAAATATTAAAATATACGTGAATTTACTCGTCCAGTGAGTTCATGTGGGGTGCGTTGAGTACGATTTTAGATATTAAATAATTATATCTATAATCGTGGTGGCGGGTAATGACTGTTATCACATTTAAACAATTTGAACTTGGACCTAGTATACGCAGATAAAAATATTAAATAGATAACAGATTACAGACTTGGACAGATTTCATGTCTATGAACGTGCTATAAAGAGCGTACTCAACTAGTCAAGCTCAAGCAGCAGATTCTAAAAGCAATTTCAATTGTAATGTGATATTTCTTGTGAATACGTACATATATACGTATATGATCCGTCGGGCAACTATTATATCTATACCGATCTTTAATCGTGGTTGTCTTTTTTCTATAAGTTGCACTACAGAGTATTACAGATTATAATCAATGGTACTTAAGGCTTCTCAGTGTTCTGTAGTCTTGACCATGAACAAATATCCTTGTCTTAGTAAAAGTCAAGTATTATAATTGACAAACTAGTGACTTAGTAGTCAATTTTGAATTTTTTAACCACGATTTAAGATAGTTAAATTAGTTTATTATGCTCATGTAATCATATTTAAGCCGGTTATCGCCATAGGTAAAATGTATATAAAAGTATATTATCTACCTATGTTGTTAAGCTGTTCATTATTGATAACAATGATATAATCACAGAAATATAACATCCGTGTCCCGTAAAAGATAGTAAAAAGTACTTACTAAATTATTTACTCAATGTACGTACAAGCACAGAAAAATAACAATTATTAGACCATCAATTGTCTAGGCCCTAGGGGTTTCTAATTTCTATCAAGTGTATAGCCTATAACCATTGAATAAAGACCATGATACGCGGTATTAGCCATCGGGTATCTATAGAAATCAATGTTTGTAATTTTGTAGGTTTTTAACCTCATTTTCTTTCGGCAAGACCAATTCGATGATTTTCTATCATATTTACTTTGTAATATTTTTATTGTTATAACTACGACACACGGTCTTAGAATATATCACATGTGAACACAATTACTGACCCTAAATGTGTTACACATTTATCGCATTTATAAGACTTAATAACTCTATTATAATGACTATTAAAAATGCTTTTTTAACTAAAAATTAATCGTGAATTTGTCGAAATATGAACTTTAAATGCTTTTAAAAATAATTGTTCATTCGTCTTTAATATTTTTAAGTAATTAAAATAAAAACTTTGAAAGGTACCTTGCATTAAGTTTTTAAACATTTTTAACCAAACGATTAAAAATAAAAATAAGATACTAATTAATCAAACACAATATAACCAAAATCGCTAACAGATTTTAGAGTATATTATTTAGTAATTTAAATACCATATACTAATTACTAATAACACTACGAAAAAGCCTTCTATAATAAGAAAATAGGTACCTACCCAATTATTTTCGTTATAATTTAGGGACAGGAACAGATTTTCCATGGAAATTATAATATATAATATATATAATATGTATATTATATTTTATATTATTATATATATATTATGATATAACCTAACCTGTGATATAAATAGTATATTGTAATTTGTAATCACGAACTAAGATATACGAGATAAGTATATCTTAGTTCATGGTTCGTGTTTGTAATGTACTGGAAAAGTGATAAATCATAGATTATAGATTTTTGAGGATTTCGATAACAATTGATAACAGTGAACCTGATAAGAGCAAAAGAAACATCTCAGACGCCGTGTGATGATAGCAGCTGCAGTTGCTTGTTTGCGAAGTTGGCATTACTGCGATAATGGACGCGTGGCGCCACCATTTTCCAGTGGCAAACTACAGCACTACACTTGTATCGCACATTCGCACCATATCTCGTGATTGGTGATTCGGTATTATTTTTTTCTCGATTCCAAACACGTTTTTTTCTGTCTACGTCGATTGGTTCCTCAATGCAGTGATTGGGTTTCGCATTTTCATCTGTGTACGTAATACGGGACGCGTAGGTACCGACCGATAAACGACCATAGATATGTCTAATAACGCAGCGCCGGACTCTTGGGAGGAAGACGAATTAACAGATTCGAGTGCCGCTGATTTGCAGCAGAAGCTCATCAAACTAAACGTAAACGCGGTGGAGTTTATTCCGTCGTTTACCTCGTTTTCGTCCAAGTCCGACGATGTTGACGGAGGCCCCGAAGATGAGACTGCTGGTGGTGGTGACAAGAAAACGACCAGTAAGTGATACCGGTTTTAAGGTTATGACGTGTCCTAATTTATTGGGCTTGTTTGTCCGTTGTTTTTAGACGTGGATGGCATAGGAGACCCGTTGGCTGGTGACACCGGCGGAGGGGCTTCAGCTGCTGTGCTTGACTCATGGGAAGATGGTGCGTCCAGTACTCCCGAGGACGGAACTGCCAAACCCATTATTGAGATTGATAATGATATCGACATTGACGTTGATGTGGATGGTGAAGATGAAAAACCTAAACCCATTGCTAAAAAAGCTATTGAAGAATCTGAACCAAAACCTAAAAAGGAACATATCAATATAGTGATTATTGGGCACGTAGGTAAGACTCGTACAATTAAAAATGTGGTCTAAAAAAATTGTGTTGTGTGTACATTATAGTCCTGCATGGGCCTAACTTTTGAAGTCTTAGCCCGTCCCAAATACAATTTTACTTATGATACCCAGCCCAGCCCGATTTATTTCACTTGGATATACAGTCCGGCCTGCCCCGGCCTGATTCATTTCTTTTAAATATATGGTTCAGCCCAGCCCAATGTGTTTAACTTAAGTATATACTTAGCAAGACCCAGCCCAAATTTTCACTGAAATATATGGACTTGATCATATATTCAAATGGGGAAGGACCACTGCTCTATACAGTCTACAGTATACACTATTACCAAGTATTATCTGGTACCTACCTACATTGTGTAAAGTAAATAGTAAAGGGTGAAAAAAAATAGGTAAAGTATTCAGTATACTATATCAATCTTCTTTTTAATCAAAATACAAAATAAACATTTTATTAAAATGCAAAATAAACATTTAATTAAAATATAAATTCTTTATTTTTCCTTTTGATAGTCTTATAAAAATAACAACGCGTCGATAGTTTCTGCTTTAAGATAAGATCTTCTTTCCTCAATTACTCTACCTGTAGCACTAAATGCCCGTTCACTTGCAGCACTTGTTGCTGGTATAGCCAGAATTCTTATTGCCAATTTAGCCATTGTTGCTAAAATGTTGTTTCTAGCTTTCCACCCGTCTAATATATTGTCATTTTTTGTTTGAAACATTTCTGTACTGTGTACATAAGACTTACATCAGACAAGTTCATTCTTATATGAAGACATAGCATTAGGCTGAGTAAAATCATTTTCCCATTCTGAAAACATACTATTGTATGAACTGATAGATGGTGCTTGTACTTCCGGGTGAACTTGATTCACTTCATTTCTTACTGGTTGACTTTCTTGAATTTTTAATAATTCCAGCTTAACATTACCTATAATACGATTCTTTTCACTTTCTCCCATCATCTTCATACTTTTATTAGGTGGAAACAAAAATAATGCAATTTCATGACTTCGGTGAAGTTTAAATTTACTTTCCATAGCATTGAGTGCTCAAGCAGCCAATATTTTTAAAATTGTAGAAGTCTCATGAATTTGTGTATTATGTTTTATACTTTCTAGATGTTTAATCAACTTACAGCGATAGAGCACTACTAAATTAATTGTAGAATATTTTTCACCTTCAATTTTAGTTGATGCTTCTTTAAATGGAATTAAAAAATCAATTAACTTGGTCAGTAAGTCAACGTTTATATCTTTTAAACCTCTTATGGTTATGTCCATAAAGCTTAATTAACTCTTTATACATATCTCTTATTGATTGTAACATTATAACTTTTGAATACCATCTAGTTTCAACATGTTGATGTAATGGCTTGGAGTATAAATTATTATCACCAGATTTTTTCATGTACCTCACTAAAGATTTTGATGCTGATATTAATGTATCTACTGATTCAAATGTTGCAACTGTATATTATGTGCATCTGTATTTTCAGTTGATTTTTGTTCTGTTAAGCTGAATTTTTCTTGTAGAATGTTGCGTAAATATAGTCTTTTTAATAAATCCTTATTTGTATTTTGAAAAAATATCGGAAAATAGTTTGAAAAAATGAATAATTTATTCATTGCCTATTTATTCTAACTAAAATAAAATTAATTTTAATTTTGTTGTGAATAGTGGAACTATTTTCAGGTTAGATAGATAGAATAGATAGATAGAAACAAAAATATGAATTTTAGTGTTAGGTTATATTATGAATAACATGTAGATTATTATTAATAATTAATTAGTTTAATTAATATGCTTTCACATTTTCTTTTTACTCTAATAATTATTTTGAAGATCGTAAAATGAAGTAAATATTTGCTCACTAGCTGTGTCATTCGACCAGTCTTCGACAGACGACACTACACAGTACACTCTACACGTATGCATTTATGATTTACGCACAACGCTGAACACACTTCAATCATTAATTATAGCAATATGAAATAAAAAAACATAATCAAGATAATAAACATAAGAAAATCTATATAAACTATAAAGTGTCAATACGTTAAACTTGTCCCATTGGTCGGTAATATAAATGATATCTGAGTATAGAATATGGACTTTATTATTGAAAAGAATAATAGTATTCCCACAGTTATAAATAAATTACTGTTAAATACGTATTTTTGAATTTCTGGTTATCGATAATTCGTTTTATCAATAGAAATTAAATGATAAATTCAATTATTTTAAAATATTTTATAATTATTAGGCTTAGCCTTAGGTCTTTAAATGAAATCATTTATCAATTAATATCATAAAATGTATATGAAGCCCTGCCCGAACAACTAATACTAAAGTGAAGGGCCAGGCCCAGTCCGAACCCGATTTTGATGACACCAAGCTCGGCCCTAGCCCAGCTTTGGGCCGGATCAACCAGGAGACAGGCCGGGCCAGCCCGGCCATGCAGGACTCTAGTGTAGTACATGTTATTTAAAAGTATGAATTAAAGAGTCAAAAATTAAATATGTATTACTTATCACATATTATAGTAAGTTAATTTCAGTTGAATTGCTTATTTTTGAAATAAAATGTTAGATTTTCTCAAAAAATTACTTTTTATAAAATATTTACTAAAAATTCCCAGTGAGGCAGTGGCTCCCTTGCCCTTCACTCTGTGGGCACTTTTGTTTATACCAGTAATTATTTATTGATTTTTTGTAATACTTTATATTTGTTGTTTATGAATTATTTTAATACGTAACATACCTTTTTTAAATTTAAAAAAATAATACTAAGATAATTAATCTAAAATATATATTGCATTTTTATTGTTAATACCTTTAAAATGTTAATCATTGTATGCAACATACCGTGTTGCAGCTATAATAATTGTTATCTACTTATTTATTTAGATGCTGGAAAATCAACAATTGGTGGCCAAATAATGGCACTTACTGGTATGGTTGATAAAAGAACTCTAGATAAATATGAAAAAGAAGCAAAAGAAAGAAGCAGAGAATCCTGGTACTTATCATGGGCATTAGATACTAATCAAGAAGGTAATTGAATAATGATAGCTGTGAAAAAATTAATAGTTCATATTTAACTGAATAAACTACTTAAATAATAATAATAATTTTTAGAAAGAGAAAAGGGCAAAACAGTTGAAGTTGGCCGAGCATATTTTGAAACCGAGAGAAAGCATTTTACAATATTGGATGCACCTGGTCATAAAAGTTTTGTACCCAATATGATTGGTGGTACTGCTCAAGCTGATTTAGCTGTTTTGGTATGTTTTAAATTATAATATTAAAGAATAATTTATGAAAATTGTATTAATTGTTAAATATTAACATTTTTACTAGTTAGTTATATTGAAACTAAACTACTATTAATTCAGTTTTAACATAATCTTAAAATTGTAATTTATTATAATTATCAAAACGATTGTATTATAATAACAAAACATCAAAAGTAACGGTTGAAAGAATTAATTTTAATTTTTAATGATAAATATCGAAATAATAGTTCACCTTTTTTATTTTTCATGTTAAATATCTATTAAATGAATTTTTAATTTTGGTGATAAGGTTATTTCGGCTCGTAAAGGTGAATTTGAAACTGGATTTGATCGAGGTGGTCAAACCCGAGAACATGCTATGTTAGCAAAAACAGCCGGTGTTAAACACATGCTGGTGTTAATAAATAAAATGGATGACTCAACCGTCCTGTGGTCAAAAGCTAGATATGAAGAATGTAGAGACAAAATTTTACCTTACCTGAAAAAGCTCGGATTCAATGTAGCCAAAGACTTAACATTTATGCCCGTGTCTGGTCAAACTGGTTTAGGACTAAAAGACCAGGTTGACGAATCTATATGCCCATGGTATAGGTAAGTGCTCTTATATTTTTTTTCATCTAGAATCATACTCAATTTTTATTTTTATTTTTCAGAGGGCCAGCTTTTATTCCATTTATTGACAATTTACCTTTATTAAATCGTAGTTCAGATGGTCCTTTTATAATGCCTGTTGTAGAAAAATATAAAGACATGGGAACTGTACTCATGGGTAAAGTAGAATCAGGCGAAGCAAGGAAAACACAAACTCTAGTGTTAATGCCAAATAGAGTATGTTTTTTATTTCAGTATGTTTAATCACATTCCCTATTCTTATAGTAATATTGTATACTATTTGTAGACAACTGTTATTGTTGATCAATTGTGGTCAGATGATGAAGAAGTTACCTCGGTTGGACCAGGTGAAAATATTAAAGTTAAACTAAAAGGAGTTGAAGAAGAAGATGTTTCTCCTGGTTTTATTTTATGTGATCCAATTAATCCAGTTAAAACATGTCGTATATTTGATGGACAGGTATAAAGCAATCGAAAATATAAATTAATAGAAATAGAAAATATATTTTAAAGGTGGATATTTTTAATTTCAGGTTGTCATATTAGAGCATAAAAGCATTATTTGTGCTGGATATTCAGCAGTTATGCATATACATTGTGTTGCTGAAGTAGTAGAAGTTAAGGTAAATTAAAATAAGTAACCAAAACATTAATTGTCTTGTAAATTTATTTTTAATAGGTACATATGTATAATATGATTTTGCTTCGGTCATTTTTTTCAGGCATTAATATGCTTAGTTGATAGAAAAACTGGATTGAAATCAAATATGAGGCCAAGATTTGTTAAGCAAGATCAAGTAGTCATAATGAGGCTTGAATGTTCAGGTGTTGTTTGCCTTGAAGAATTCAAACTTTTCCCCCAAATGGGTAGATTCACACTTCGAGACGAAGGTTTGTTCTTTGTTAAATATTTAGATGTACTATTCATCATTTGTTTGAAATTTTCAACTGAACATTAATATTAGAATATCTTACATGAATGGGAATGTTACTGTCAAACATGAAAATCATCTATTGTATGTACAATGACCGTGCTTATTACACTAAGAATGATATAATTGACAAGCTGTTAACTATACTTTATTCCAAATAAATTTGAAAATAATCTCAACGAATTTGCCTCTCTCATATGGTATTTTGTTGGATGCCTTTGACACTGCCGACTATTGCAGTTTAACACAGCGGTCCTACCGTTAAGAAGCTTAGTAGTTTTTCCAAACTTATTTGGAATAGAGTATAGACTTAATTTGTGCAAAATGTTGGGAAAATAATGTTAATACTGACTATTATAAAATGTCCTTTCCTACTATTTGGTAATATTTTTATTTAAAGTTGACCAATGCCATCATTTTGTAATAGTTGAACAAATATTAAAACCCACTCAATGCTACTGCTGCTGTTGATAATGACATGGTGAGCTGTCTTATTTTTATATAAACCGTGTCAACAACTGTTAGATGTGGTTGTAGTAGTGAGGGTGCCCACTGCAGAAGACTGTTTGTAACCAAACAGAATATAATAAAGCAATACATAACTACTATCGTAATTAATGTTTTTAGCTTTTTCACTCATGTTAAATAGAGCATTTTTGCTTAGAAAAAACATCAAGCAAATTGTTTCTGATAAATCAACAAATATTCCTGTCATTGTAAAATAATAAATTTACATTTGTATAATATATATACTAAGATATTACAAAATTAACATATTTATTTAAATAAATAAAACAATTATTTTTAAATAGTACAATGAACATTTTATAAACTAAGATTTTTTTTACTGTCTTTGTATTGCGAGGTAATTAACATTAAGAACCCAACTGCTGACTGCCCTTAATTAAAAATTAAAAATAGTAGTAAGTTGTTGGATAGAACCAGTCTAAGTATACAATTGTTAATATATAAGCTTCCAATGATCGTTGATTAGATATATTGATGCCAATAGTAAAAAAAAAATTGTTACTGTAAATTCAGCTAAAAGGCTACACATTTAATATTTTTTATGTCTTCTTATTGATAGAGAAATTGTTTTTATTTATTTTTCAGGTAAAACTATTGCTATTGGAAAGGTGTTGAAAATAATTGAATAGATGAGCTTATTTATGTTGAAACCTAGTAAGTTGAAAACGTTGGGCGACATATATATATATTTTATAACTTAATTTTTTTCATTTATTTTTTATGATAAAAAAAAAAAAAAATGTTGAACTCAAAAAAAAATATGCTGATCCTTTTATTATATAAGAAATCTAATATTTATATAGCCACATTTAACGGACACTTGTTATTGTTGATTGATAGTTAATGTGTGCCTTATACCAGGCAGTTTTTTTTTTTTTACATAGCTTGTACATGTTAAATAATTACATAGACTATGTAAAAGAAAAAAATGTTACTAATAATTATATTTATCTCTAAATCATTGAACTGCCATCTATGTCCTTGTATAAGCTGTACAATTTGTCTGATTACAATTTGCAACAGTAATAACACTACTGAAAGCACTTGGCTTGCTCACGGATATGGGTTATACTTTTTGTATTCTTGCGCAAATATGACAATTATACACATTAAGTTATATAAATTTGTATGACAAGCAACTCATGTCTTACTTGGACCTAAATGTACTCTATACATGAAGAATTGTCTGACTATGCTATCTGATGTGTAACTTTCATATTTAAATATGTTTTGTTGTTATCGAAGAAAGTCCAAGTGTTAAATTTAATTAAAAATGTGTCCATTAAGACTTTTGTAACCAACTTTTTACATAATTTATTATATTTCATTAATTTGTGTATAATCTACAACCAATAACTATTGAATCAGATAAAGAAATAAGATTAAATATATTCATTATTATTATTTCAGACAATAAAACGATTATTTTCAGCTATAAATCAACTTTCTTATGTTTTATTATCGTTGTCTTTATTAGAATGGTTGGTAAAACTATAGAGAAATACATCAGTAGCTCCTGGTTTGTAATTAATAATCATAATGTATGTTTATTTGAAGATAGAATTTTGCCATACAGCCTAGCGCAAGTTAGCTGCTGAGATTCCTTCTTATGATGAAAAAAGTTTAGAAACAATATTTAGGGTTTTTATTTTTGTGTCTTAGTATAATATTGTAACTATTACTGAGCAGATAAAATTCAACAATTTAGTTTGTTCAGAGATTATTGATGAAAACAAATATATTCTATAAACGTCAATGATTTCTCCAGGTAGAAGCAGTTATAAACATTAAACCTGCATTGTACGTTTTACTGGTTATTTAAATTGAACAATTAAAAAATCATTTTCTGCAAACTTGTTATACATGAAATACTTGATAAGAAATTTATCGTGTACTTGAGTAAAACATCAATTAATGTAGATATTGATATTTGATTTAACAATAATGTGTTTTTTTTTATTTATCATTTGTCTACAAATGGTATGATGCTTTGATTTTTTAGTTGTATTTTAGGAAGGAAAATTTAACTCGTTTTTACTTTACCGGGAGGGGGGTCAAAAGTAAAATATTCCTAGTAGTATTCAAAATCGATATATTTTTTTTTTTTGTGTATGTTTCTCAAAAGCTAATAACCGTAGATACTTTAAATGTTCACTATATGTTGATATGACCATTTTAAAAATATGATTAAGTGTTAAAAAAACTTGCAAAGCACATTTTTTTTAGTTATTTATAGAATATTTTCGATTTTTTTTTATTCTATTGTTCAGATTTTGACAAAACTCATCAAAATCTTGAAAATTTGCAAATTATGTTGTAGTTAAAAATTTAGAAATCGTACAATTTGTATAGCCAAGGATTTAAAATGTAAGACTAAGTTTCTCATAAGTATTTCATACTGTAACCAAATAATCTAAAAGTTATCTAAACACGATTTTTTAACTTAAAATTTGGGAGAAATGTAATGTTATAACTAATATTAACGATCTGTAATTTAAAAATATTCGTTAGTACTTGAAACTTTTTAAGTAAATCAAATTGAATATGAACTTGAACCACGCTTATATTTAATGAATTTGAACGATTTTTAAGACGCCCAATTTATTTACCATTTAATAAATAATATATGTTAAGAATATATTTATTAATTATATTATATTTTAATTAAAATTATAATTTATATTGTAAAAAATTGAATGAACGACCCAGCAAACGCATTCATTTTTTCAATGAACGTGAAGAGTTCATTTTTTAAGTGAATGTTCCAACACTGATCAAGTGAAATGTTATTGGCTAAAATTGAATCAACCTTTAGTTTCACAGACAGTAAATTAAATTACTTTATAAGCAATGATTTTAATTAAATAATTATTGTAATTCTAATTTAACACATCCATTTCGGTGACCCCACAATACTCTTTAGTACAGCGAGTAGTACCCTCCACTTGCTACCTATTATTTTATTTCTGGTTAAGTCATGATTGTGAAATTGTATTGGAATTTCTATTTCCATAAGTATATATTGTTCCACAAAATTGCTATCATATTTTCTTATAATGAACTTAAACACCCTACCATTCAAGCAATTGGTAATCAAAATATGAAAATATTGAGCTGTCTCTTGTTTTTATTTCAAATCTTAATGTAGTATCCAAAAATAGCACAAAATTTACTAAACTTAACTACAATATAACATATAAAAATGGTTTATTGTTTGCTTGTATTACTATTCTGATGATGTATGTCATAACAACTAATACAACCAATTACATAGTCATTAGTTATTACAATAGATATTTGCCCTATCTGCTCTATAATTTACAATGGAAAATAGTTTTCCGGTTAGCGCATAAGACAAATAAAGACACTTAAAATAATATGAGTATTGAAAAGAAGAGGATTTAGATTACGTTTTAAATACTATGTGATCAAATGATAAAGGACACTTTTATGAAAAATATTTGATTTATAATACACAATAAAATATAATTATAATTTAAAAAACATCACATATGTTATAACTTAAAATTAAAAACATTGCAGGAATGTTTACGTTTAAAATATTTTGGGCGTGCGATAATACGAAAACGAATCAATCATTACATAAAATGGAATTGACCTCTAAAATATGTACAACAGATTTTGAACGAGTACCTGTGACATACAGAATCTCATAAAGAGCACACAAATGTATGCTTAGTTTAGTAAATATAATTTATTTATGTCTAAATAAATTGTATTTAATATTCAGTTTTAATTTATAAAAAAAAAGTTTATTAAAAAATGGTAGTTGTTAGAAACGTGTAACACAAACCACAAATTTACACATTGATTTTGTATATGTATAGTATATACAACATAATATGCAGATATAACATTTATAAATTTTCAAAATCTATTAACTATTACTATAAAAATATAAATATACATATTTTTTTATATACCTACCAAATACAAAAAATAGTAAGTTGGTACATTGCATTGTGCAGTGTGAAATATACATTTACAAAATTACCACAATATTTTCCTGGCTTGTCATACATAATCATTTTAAACGTGATAAATTTCTGTTATTATAGTTCTTGCGATAGAATTCAGCTATCCTTTTCTTCAGAACTTCATTAGCTTTACTCCATACTTTTTTTTCTGCAACCATTTTCTGTTCAAAATGATATAACAAATCACACTCTTTTTTAGCAGCCAAAAGTATGCTATGCTTTGATGCTACACGTCTATTAGTGTTCAAATAACTGCAACATTTTTTAAGGATATCAAATCTTTTGGCTATGCGTTCTCGACAAGCTCGTTCTTTGGCATTGTGTATAGACCTGTCTATAGGTTTTCTAAACCTGTGTTTAGGCTGATATTCAGGTTTTTTTAATATCGTTATTTTTCTAGTCCGTCTTTTCTTTGCGGTAGTTGGGTAGTTGATGTTCAATACAGAATTTTCACTGTCGCCACTATAATACAAATCTTTTAGAACAAAATAAAATGCAGTTAGTAACAAAATAGTTAGTATTATTGAGAAACAAAATCATAAATACATACATTCTTTTTCACTTTTTTCAATAGCCAATTGTTTGTATTCATCATATGGAACATCTCCTGTAAGGCTTGAATTGCTGCTGGCGGCAGAAATCGCATTCTCATAATTATTTTCATTATGAGTTTGATAAATTTCATCCCAATCGTCATTATTTCCAACAGAAATATCATCATCAATTTCTTCAGAACTTGAACTATCAAACAGCTCTTCAATTAATTGCTCTTTTAGTTTTTTTACAATTACTGGAGGTTTAGGGTCTCTGATTTCAATACTTGATAGAGGTTCTAGTTTTAATTTAACATTTGATAAAGGCTCTTCTCGTTTATTTATTTTGTTGTTTGGTTGGAGTTGATTAACGGTATTACTTGATCTGGTTTTGCCTTTTTTTACATCAATACCTGTTAAATCTTCAATATTTTTTGCTTTAGTATTTAACACAGGTTCATGTGGTTTTACGCGAATCCTTGATTTATCTTTGTTTATACTAATGGTTGATTGGGTGAGTTTGGGTTTTTGAAACTCAGTAGTAGATGCAATTTTTTCTATATCATTTGAAACTAATTTGATTTTAGGCCTTATAACAGTATCATTGATTTTCTCTAAAAATTGAAGAAGTTTTTGTCGATGCAGTTGAATATTCTGTTTCATTTGTATTTTGTTATCATTATCAAGACAGTTTAACATTTTTAATTGATACTGAAAAAATAGAAAAAAAAGGTATACAATAATTAAACAGTTAAAACAAATTATATGTAGCTAGATAGATGTATGTTGAAGTGTCATTTTAAGTTAAATATTGTTTAGAATTTAAGAGCGTAGTCTACTCATACAAAAATGATTTATTCATTCCATATTTATATGCATAGAACATGTGCCTTAGACAAATCATTGACCATTAATTTTTCAAGGATTGGACTAAATTTGTCATAATCTACCTAAGATAAATGATTATATATTTTATATATTATTATTGCTGAGAAAATGTAAGTTGTTTAAAAATTTTTTTATTTCTATAATTTCTACACATATATTTCAATATAATTTCCAAGGTACATTTATATGTTGTACTTTGAACAATTATTGGGTTTAAAAAATAAACCATTTATAACTTACTTATACTTATAATATTGTTAATAATGCACTAACTTGAAAAAACATTTGATAAAAATGGTCCCAAGGTACAACACTTTCCCCAAATTGTTCCCTATACACCTAGAATTATATATTATGTATATTGAAATAAGTAAAATATGGAAAATGAACAGAAATTAAATTTAGCAGGAACTATTATAATACACCAGGGCAAAATATTGAATATGTGTCATCTATTATGTCACAAGAAGATATGAGGTACTTGGTATTGTTTAATATTATTAACAATTTTAAAAATCTGATAAATAGATGCTAAAAAAAAGTTGGTGGTGAACAAAAACTGTTTTCTGATAATTATGGCTAGTATTATAAATTGATAAACAATAATTTCTAATAAGATGCATTTCAAGTGTCACATTGTTATAACGGAGACAACGTAAGGTGACAATAGATATTTCGACAGATAAAAATAATATTACTAATGGTTTAAGGTCTCGTGTTCATGAAGCACGCTGCGGCATTATTATATAAGGGTATTATTAACATGATATAAACTTATGGTATGACACTACGACCAGATTTGGTTCAACTTTGCGCACACGTCACAAGCTTACCAATATTATCAAGAAAAATTCGATACGTATCGACATTGAACAATATAGAAGGGACGTTAATGTTCACCTGTGATCGGAAATTTGAACTTCCAAAAACATGAAACCGAAACTGCTCACATGAGGTAATGAATTTGATTTCCCGAATAACGGAAAGTGCCACTATTCCAAGGCTACAATCGCCAACTCGGGCAAACCTCAGATTGTGAGAGATAAGGGTGATATGAAAATGTTACTCGCTAAGCCGCTAAGGTGGTATACGAACACGTGTTAATTCTTAAATGCTCAACATTGAACCGATAAGTATCAATGTATTACAAATTCTTTATATTGCCATTAAGATATTATTAATATACTATACACGGTAACGTGCATACCCAGTCATCTGACTGTCAAAAATTTCTGATTATACCTACCTAGTTTAAACCATGGAATATTATATTGAAATATGATTGATAAACCCATTTTTTTGTACTCACCGAACGCGATCGCGGTTTTAGAGAAGGGCTAGGTTTCGTATCGGCTGCAATGAAGAGTCTGGAAAAACCACCTGGTTCACGGCTAATGGTGACTCATATACTATTATAAATTATAATAGTAAAAAGTTATCGGAGCGGCAGATATCGCGTAGCGCTGATATTAGACGGCGATGGAGAGAGCGAGCCTACGTACGAGGCAGCTGATGAGTGACTGTGAGAGTGCGAGCGAAACGAATGCGATGTGTGCCGTGTGCGAGTGGGACGTGATCCGCGCCGTGGCACAAAGAACCAGCGCTGTATGGAATAGACGCCAGGTATCCGTGTCCGAAAACGTAGAACAATGTTAGAACTGACGTCCTGACGATGTTACGTTCTATTGTTCTCGAATTTATCAACACCGCGTTACTTTTTCTTCGGATTTATTATATTATTTGGCGATCTTGCCCCATGTATATGTATAGGTATTATATAATTTAAATAATATAACGAATGCAGTCGCGTGTGTACTGCTTGTTAACCGCGTGGCACTGAGATCGTGCCGCGATCGTGTAACCGGTTCGGGAATTTTGGATTGGGAAGGACGTCTGCGCGCGATTTACACAGTTCATAAAGCGAGATGTCGCTTATATGAAATTGTCCAATGTCATAAGACATGTTATAGAAAGCATCTTCGAAATGAGAAATGGACTTAATATAAGATTTTCAATGGTCCCTACTATCAACTTTTATAATTTATATTATATTACACGACATACCTACACGTGAACTACTATTGCATGGTATTGTGCGTGTGTGCAGTGTACACGCATGTCATGTGGTGTTCATGCGGTCGAACCAGGTGAGCAGCTGCCGCACTGATGTGAACCCTTCGGTCCGCACTTGGTCGGCGGTTTTCCGGCGTTTTGTAGTTACTAGTTGTCTGTGATCTCGTTGTCCACAGATATTGTTTAGTAACGTGGTAGTCGTCGTCCCTTGCCAATTCCGTTGTCAACACCGACGATCATAATAAGCTCAGGTTATGGTTATGCCCAGCGATTACTGTAACTGTTCGAAATACCGAAATAAATGCCCTTGTCACAATAGCTGGCCATACACGATCGGACAAATGTCGTTGTTCCGTTTTCATGAGTGTAGGTAAATATAACGTCTACGGAATTTAATACCGTGGCATGTGGCCGGTGGAAATCAAGGTGTGAGGTTGGTCACACTGCGGGCAGCGTGATTGGCGTTACTGTACGTCTGTATCGAATCTACACTCAAACACATAATTTACAAACTGCTGATCGTCTTCCAATGAAGTGATTCGTTTACATTGATAAATTTTATTTTGAAATTTGACACGAGGTCCGGATTGCTATCAGTTTTACTACTTACTAAATTATCCATTATACATATTTTTACGAAAACTGTGAATGTAGTATATTAGTACATGTCGACTTATTATTTACAAATACATTACGAAGAAATACGGTACGTTATGTGATGATTAAATTTCAAGAAGAATATGAAGCCCGTAAATATTTGGTAGGTACTTGGTACCTATATGTATTTATTATTATCCACTCACATAGAGACGTAACTGATAGATGATGAAAACTACCAATTTACTATGCAGACTTAAAGTTTTTTTTTGTTTTTATTTTATCCTCAAAGTTTTACCAATGTCATTTAAGGGCGATTGTTAACTCGGTGCAAGGGAAAAAAATGTCGTAAGGTCTATACTCCATACCAGGGAAGGCAAACCTTTTGAACACTGCGTGCCCAAAATTAGTAATAACCTTTTTTTTTTTAGAGCGTGACATGAAAAAAATATTAAAAATATTATAATTTGATTGTCTAATTGATGTATTAGTATAAAAAGGTTAGTTTATAGGTTATTATAGGTCCTATAATATACGCGGAAGCTATGCGAAAGCAGTTCCCGCGGCGGCGTCGTCGATTTCTAAATTTTCGCGTGCCTACAAAATCTTTTCGGGCACGCGTGCCATGGATTTGCCATCCCTGCTCTATACTCTATTGTAAACACGACACCGATTTGCCCAAGCTACACTGTTGGTATTTAACTTATAAGATCTCGTCTTGTCCTAAAATAATTGGTAACTACTAACTAGATAATTAGGATTTAGTCCCTCCTGACATTAAATGAAAAGTAATCTACACCCCACACCCTCATAAATATTCACTTAAAAATATAAAAATTTCATGTTCATATTAATAATTAGTCTTATTATTACTATAGGAGCCGTTTTTACGAGTTTTAATTATAAATACAATTAATAAAAGATTATAAAATTAAAAACTAAAATATTTCAAATATATACGTCAAAATATACAAATAATTATCAAACAATAGGTAGTGTTGGTACCTATTCTTTTAAAAAAACCATGAACATATTATATTCTTTCAAATCGTGATAAATAACATAATGATATCATTGTTGATATTTAAAAATTATTTATTATACATTAATATTTTTAATGATAAGTATACCTATATTATATAAGTGTATAATATTGTAGCTGGAAATTATTTTTCCTAGGGATAGCGATTTTTTTTCGAGTTCGTTGGTTATTTATTTCCAGAGATTTTTATTCCGCAATTCACTGCCTGTGTATTCAGTGTATTGTGCATATACTGTAAAATTGTGTAAAGTAATATCTTTCCAGTATACCGACATAATTCGTTTTCACTTTCCTCAAAAAAAAATAGGTTCAGGCAAACAGCTAATCAGTGGCGCCGGACTATATTTTATATTATGGGGGAAAAATGCTGGTGTAAGACCTACCTACCTACTTAAAAAAAATGTTTAACTACTCTCGAATAGTACCTTATTTATTTCCAACTATACACACATAAAATACCTCATAACAAAATAATTTTTTAACATAGTTACTTTACATACTAGTATTATAATAAAATATAAATTATCTTCAAAGTATCATAAATCCGATTTTAGCGATTACATGCAATATAGGTGGTACTGTTGTAGATATATGACTAAATAAAAATACAAAGATATTTCAGGCTCAGCTAAACCTAAGCGCAATACTCATACTCGTATAGGTACTTATGAACATTATATGGTCATTAAACAACAATTAGAGCCAAGTGCTGCTTAAGAACATTGTGTTAATAATAAATTATTAAATTAAATGTATACAAAAAAGCTGCTTAAGCTGAATAATTTATTTCCTTACGGGCTACTAAAAATGTATTCTTTATGATTGTTATAGCTAAATTATAAATAAAAGATCTACCTACAACTTTATCAGAGAATTGTAACTTTCCCTTTCAAAATTCAAATTAATTTTAGATATAGAGTATAGTTAAAGCATATGTACACCGATAGGGGCAAATATATTTTAGGACAAGGGATGCCTAACTTAACCTTGACTTTTTTCAGCTATTTATAGATAGTTGAAAATTTCGATTTTTCTAAGAATTTTATGGATTAAAATTAGGCTGCCTAAAAAATCTTGAAAATTGTATACAAGGATTTCTATAAGTTGTAGTTATCCAAATTTTAAAAAAAATGAAAATATTTAGTCCCAATTTTTTTATAACCTTTTAAAGTTAACACTTTTACGAAATATGTCCAAATCGCGAAAATTTGCAAGTAGTTTTGTAGTTGAAAATTAATAACATTTCTAGTATTTATACATTATATACCTAAGGTTAAAAATGGCAATACAAGGTTGTCCTTCAGTTTTACATCAAACAACTATACAAAAAACTCGAGCGTCATTATTGAAAAACATTTTAGGAATGTCTGATACTTTTATGAAATTGCCTAAAATAACGATTTTAGATATTTGTTATTACTCAAAAATATAAGTCGTAGACACTTGAAACTATAACCCGTTATTAAGATTGGCAATTTCTTCATATAATTTTCTTTTCACCTGTTTTTGAGTAAAGATAAGACTTGCCCTCAGCGGCAAAATTTAAAAATATTTTATGGGTGGCATTCATATACTTAGACTAATAGACTATAGATTTGTTTCATCGGTAATAAATTTATTTTTACATCAGTGATTTAAAATTGTATACAAATGTTGAAAAGTATTATACGCAATTTATGTATATTTTTTTAATAATAATAAAACATACCTATTGGCTATAACATATACAGAAATCTAAATAAGGTAGATTCAAATAAATACAATGCACTCGCGACTCGGTCGACGAGGATCTATTATATATGTATAAAAAACAGATTACATGATTTTTTAAATAATAACTTTTCTTTTCCAAAGATCAATTTGGTTTCAGACCTGGATTATCTACAATAGATGCACTTTTTAAGGTTGACAACTTTGTTAGGAAAAATATTGACAATAATAATAAAGTAATGGGTACTTTTTTAGATGCACAGAAAGCCTTTGATTGTCAAGATCATAAACTATTAATGATTAAATTAGAAAATGCAGGTATTCGTGGTTTACCTAATAACTTACTTAATTCCTTCTTAAGTATAGTAGAACTCAAAGAGTTAAACTTAATGACCAGTAGTATAGTGAAATTCTTGATGTATCTTGTGGCGTACCACAAGGTGCTATATTGTTGTATGCAGTACTATGCACTCTATCGTAGATTTCGGTCTAAATGCTATTACGAGACGTTTGTCGTATGCATTCTTTACCTTATGCGATTCATATCTTTACAGTTTATTGTGCAACCTAAAATAAACCGAAAATCTTAATGTTGACGATGACTCGGACTCGGAAAAGAGCAACAAACCATGGAAGACGGTTTGATGGAACAGGGGTATTCGGGTTGTGTGACAATAACGAAGGAAGGTTTGTCCAAAAAAGAGACAAAACGACCTTGCACGAAATTATACAAATTAAGGTTATTGCTAGATCTACAATACATTCTGATGGTTGGTCAGGGTATAATGGACTTTCGGACCATGGGTACAACCACTACGTTGTAAATCATAATACAAATTTCGCAGATCCAATTTCAAAGACATATACCCAAAGGATTGAAAGTTGGTGGAGACTTCTGAGGCTAAAATTTGTGAAAAATATGTGTGGTACGACTCCGGATTTGCTTCCGAGGTATTATATTATCATATAATATTACATACCTATTTGTATAATTTAATAAATATTACAAGTATCTTATTGAAACGTGATGAAGAGGTGTAAATAAAAGTGACACATTTAACGCGTTTCTGAGGGACATGGCACAAGTATTTTTATTTAAATTTTTTATACTTATAATTAATAATAAAACGAATAACGAGACGACGACGAACGTTGATAATATTATAAAATAATAATTTGTAATTGCAATACCTAATATATTACTAACTTATAAAAATGTTTGTTTGTTATTTAACCACTTTTACATAATTCCATATATAACTTATTACACGAATAAATTGTCTAAAATCTTAATAGTTTAGAGTAACACGGTAGAGCGCAATCAAACAGTAGAGCTCATACTGCAACCTCAATGCTGCCGGTAGAGCGCATACTACAAGATAGCCCCACAAGGCATAGTTCTAGGTCCCTTATTATTTAAATTTTTTATAAATTATTTCTTTAAAATTCAAACTAATTTTAATACTGAAATTCTAAGCTATGCTGATGATATAGCGATTTTATTATCTGAACGAACTATGGATACTTTGTATTTTGTATTATGAAGCAAATAAAACTCTAAAGAATATACAAGGTTTTGCAAGAACAAATTAAA